ATATATATATATATATATATATATATATATATATATATATATATATATATAAAGGTGTTTTAAACCCTTCCCACACTCCTGCAATTATCTAAACAATGTTTCTAAACTCTAAATGCTCTAAAAGAGCACAGAATGTCGTGATTTCAGCCGGCTGCACTCTTGGCCACGCCCACTTCTCTGCTCTGCACAGAGATCAGCTGATCAACTGCAGGAGGAAGCTTCTCCCCAGCTGTGGGCTGCACACAGGTGCTAAATAGTTTAAAATAATTTATTTAAAATAAAAATTGCATGCCGATCGTGCGGCTCATCCATAAATCAACCAATTGTGTCATGTTCAACCATACTTTGAAAAACCGCGATAGAGTGAGTCAGCAAAAAACGAACTGCAAAGTAGCAAGGGACTACTATCAATAAATCAATCAGTAAATCAATAAATAAATCAATAAGCGTGGCTGATTTTTCCATATGAGACCTTCCAGGGATTAGAGCAAACTTACACAAAAATGCCTCCATCAGTTTTGGTTCCTGTCATGTGACCATCAGGTCCAGGTCTTGGACCATTAGAAATATTACCTTGAGCCTTCAGTATGCTGCGCTTGTTAATGAGAGCTGGCAAACCAGACTGTCTAGGAATCTAGCCTTTACATGTGACCTTTACGAGGAAACACCTGTAACTCCATGTCGAGGAACAAGAAGACAGTTTTATAAACCCTTCATGAGGGCTACATGTATTTATTCACAACTTTTTGGATTGACTTTGCTGTAGAGAAGCAAGCTCTCTAATTAATTCATTAATTCAATTCAGTTTATTTATTATTAATATGTCAAATAGTTCAAACTAAATAAGCCTGTGCTGTTTGCTCTGATCACTTCAACATATGTTAGATGGAACATGTACTCGGTAAGTATCAAGTGTGTACACAGTAACTACCAGGAAGTACTAGGTATATACCTGATAAATATCATGTATGCTCCCAATAAATACAAAGTACAAGGAAGTACTAAGTACTTACCCAGTACATAGTACCAGTATCCATTATTGTGTATTATTCCCGCTAGTTGCTTGTGATTTTCTATACTAGCTTGTAGCAACTTCTCTAACTTTTTCAGGGCTCTTTATTAAATTGGTATTAGTAAAGCTGTAAAATGCGTTAAAATTATGGATTTTTGTCGTATTGTTTGTTTGAGTTGATCCATAAAATGCCATCAGTCTAAAGTCCACATGCAGAGAACCTGACTGCTGCTCAGGAATCTGTTTGGCATGGGCTGTGGTCAGAAACTGTCGCTGTCCATCTGTCTCTGTCTCTGTCTCGCCTCATCTGTGGAAAAGAAAAGTGGAAATCCATTTCCTGTGCTGTGACGAACGGTGCTACCTTTCTCATCAATCTCTCCTTGTTGTTGCTTCTGTCTTCTTTTTTGTCATTGCTGAAGTAAAAGGATGGAGGACTGGGAGGAGTCGATCTTCGTCCGCCACAAAGAGAGCAGCTACAGGTTGAGGGACGACGTTCATTTCCACATGTACATCAGCACGTCTCCCTGTGGAGACGGGAGGCTCAACTCGCCGTACGAAATTACCAGAGAATGTAAGATTTCACAATATCTCTCCCTCCTTTTCAACATTTTAGTCAGCTTCTCTGAGTTTAGCAAAATACCGTAATTGCTGGACTATTGAGTGCACCCAAATATAAGTCGCACCCACTAAATTAAAAAAATAATATATATATTGTACATAAATAAGCCGCGCTTGTCTATAAGTCGCAGGTGTCCACGTTGTAACATGAGATATTTACACAGAAAGATTTTTTAAACTTTTAATTAAATATGTACCAGTAACATACACAAATATGTACAGTAAATGTGTTTTCTGAACAGTTCCTGTAACACTGCTGATTAATCCAAGTCCCCCATCCCCCTCCCTGTTTCACTGGTCCACTGTGACTTTCATCCATCCATCCATCCATCCATCCATCCATCCATCTATCCTTCCATCCATCCATCCATTTTCTTCCGCTTATCTGGGGTCGGGTTGCAGGGGAAGCAGCCTAAGTAGTGAGGCCCAGACTACCCTACTTAGGCTGAAACCTGTTTCAGCGTCTCACCGCCACCTGTTGGTGAGGCGCGTAACGTTAATTTGAATCCCACCCACTGGAACGGGAAACATAATGGAAACACAAAATGTACCGTATCAACCCAATCCAAACCGTGCTGTACCGGTACTAAAGTTGCTAATAGAAAAGGGGCAATAGTCCCTCCAGCGTGTCCTGGTTCTTCCTCTGGGTCTCCTCCCGGTGGGACATGTCTGGAACATCTCACCAGGAGGCATCCTAACCAGATGCCGAAGCCACCTCAACTGGCTTCTCTCAATGTGGAGGAGCAGCAGCTCTACTCTGAGTCCCTCCCAGATGATCGAGCTTCTCACCCTATGGGAGAGTCCAGACACCCTGTGGAAAAAACTCATTTCAGATCTCGTTCTTTTGGTCACAACCCAAAGCTCATGACCATAGATGAGGGTAGGAACATAGCTCGAATGGTAAATTGAGAGCTTCGCCTTTTGACTCAGCTCTCTCTTCACCACGACAGACCGGTACAGCGTCCACTTCACTGCAGGCACTGCACCTATCCGCTTATCGATCTCCTGCTCCATTTTTCCCTCATTCGTGAACAAGACCCCGAGATGCATGTACTTCAACTCCTCCACTTGGGGCAGGACCTCCTCCCTGACCTGGAGATGGCACTCTACCCTTTTCTACTGGGACTTGTTCTATAATTTCATTGGTCAGATTTTTTTTAACCTTTATTTATACAGGAAGTCTCACTGAGTCATGAAGACCCACCCCCCAAGAGAAACATGTGCTGCCCAGGTGTGACGAGGCTAATGTTTTGGCATCATGAAGCTCGTTAGTCTATAAAAATAAAAAAAGTCCATAAATCAGCCGCAGCATTGTATAAGCTGCAGGGTTCAAGGTCGGAGAAAAAAGTAGTGGCTTATAGTCCAGAAAGTACGGTAATTTTGACTGAGCACAGGAAAACTATAGAAAACAGGAGAGGAGGAGGAAGAACAGCAAATCCTGGGACATTTTTAAGATGTTAAACCTCAGAAATGTTCTGCAGCATGCTCACAGAGATTATAAAACTCCTGAGCACCTTTGACTGACTCTTCTGAAACAGCTCTGAGCTCGAAGCCGAGGCTTAACTTTAGCTTCTGTCAGATCATGACAACGGTTCAGGTGAAGGAAGAGAGTTTAGAACCATAAAATATGTTTATAAGACAGAAACTATGATTTATTTGCACGTTCAGGTAAAACGCATCAAATAAATAAGAATTATTTTGTTACACTGTAGTGATCGCTACAATGTTCCCTTTAAAGGGACAGTTCAGATCTTTGAAGATGTGAGTGAGGTCATACGGGTCATGTTTATCTCCATTTATATTTGTAGTCATGAATAAATGTGGCACCAGCTCAGTTTATTTACAAATAACAAATTTACACATTTTATGGACACTCAACAAATAAATTCACATGTGAATTGTCAGACTCAGCAGCTGAAGCTGAATTAATCGTTGTTAGCACAATATTTATGCTGAATAACGAGGAAAGTGAATTTGACTTTTAAAATTCATTACAAAAATGTATCAGAAATACAATCATCAACAACAATCAGCAAAACTTGATGACACAAATTATAAAGGATAAGAATTTAGAGAATAACTAGTTTGAAAGTAATTACTTTAAAATAATTAACAGTAGTTAACAATAATTAACAATCTAATCAGTGAAGAATTAATTCTCTACGAGCAGGAATTATTTTGGGTTTTAAATGTGCATTAATTTAGATAAAGTCTTAACTATTTGATAATGTTTTGTTTTTTTATGTAACCTGATTAAACTATTTATTAGCACTGCAAGATAGGAAATATGTTCTGTGGTATGAACAGTGAATATCTTACCTGCTGTAGATAGATGTTTGAACAAACAGCATTTGAGAGATAGTTTTATTCTGACAGTTAATTCAAGTAAGACCAAGGCCAAAATGGATTGCTGCTGTTTAGGTTTAAAAATAAAAATAAAAATGTTAAAGTGACAGCCATGTAACGGCTTATTAAAGAGAGTTTGCCTGAAGCGATGCGTGATCTTTGAGGTATTTTAGGACACTTTGGTTTTAGTTGAGTTTAAACTACTGGTTCATGAAGCTGCTCAGAATTCAACTGTTTCTCCAAATAAAATGTAACTAAATGTCAAATAAATTATTGTTCATTACATCAAAGTTAATTTAATAATCCAGGTAAAAATCCAACAAAGTTCAGTCAGGTCCTCTGGACGGGTTCATTTTGTTGGAACGTTTCATCTTTCATCCAAAAGACTTCATCAGTCCGAGTGTCAGTCGTGTTTCTGTGCCTTACCTGCACCACAGATTTGTTCTTTGACCCACAACGTAAATAAAATAATAATTGTTCTGATGTTTGTTCTTGAAAATAAAAATTACCGTACTTGCCGCCGTACACGTCACACCGCCCTATAAGTCGCATCAGTCCAAAAATGTCTAATAAAGTGGAAAAATTCATAAAAAGTCGTTTCACTGTATATGTCACATCTATTATGCGTCACCGCTGACAACCCGGAAATGTGGGCCGGTGTTGTGCCAAAAATCGATTGGCTGCCAAATGGCAGCTGCGGGAGCGTGCACGGGAGGACTTGAACAAGAATTTCACAAGATTAACACTTAAAAACAATTATTTGTTTGCTCGACATTATAGTAAAGTTGTGTCTCATTTGAATTTTTCCTTAATAAATGCATTTTAATGGTCAAATCAGCTGCATTTCAGCTGGGCGGTGCGGTGAAATGCAGCTGATTTGATGTTTGATCCAGGAGTTCCAGAGCGAGACGAAGGTGGCTTTGTATGGCAAGCCAAGTGACTCTTTAATAGCCACTTTAACCTGAGACACTTGGCTTGCCATATTGGTCGAGGGCCCTCTAGTGGCTGAAAATGATTTTCCATATCAGAATGAATGAAATCGTCAGATCTCAGACAAAAATTGGGTTATAAATTTGGGGAAACATAAATAAGTTGCTTTGCTGTATAAGTCACAGGACCTGCAAATGTATGCAAAAAGGTGCGACTATATGGCAAAAAATACGTTAAATGATTTCACCGCTGCTTCAAGTATTTCCAGCAACAGTCCACGCTTATAAAGTGTGCATATTTAGCTTCCTGCTGTGAGTAAACTCAACGTACTGTAGTGTTTAGATGTAAAATGGTCATATTGTTTATTAAATGGCTGCAGCGCCTCTTCAGGAGCTCTTGTGATGTGCACTGGATCATCATTATTAATAAACTGGTGATAAACTGACGCGAGCAGGAAGACAACTGGACAGTAAAAGTTGTTTCCGTGGTTCCTCCAGTGCACAGCAGCAGACACCTCGTGAGGAAGCATCGGAGCCACCTGCGGACCAAGATCGAGGCGGGCGAAGGCACGGTGCCGCTGCGCTGCCGGGGTCCCGTCCAGACGTGGGACGGTGTTCTGCAGGGGGAGCAGCTCATCACCATGTCCTGCACGGACAAGATCAGCAGGTCAGAGCAGACCCACCCCTGATCCATCAGACTTTACATTCTGACCTTTCAAAAACACTTCTTACCATTCTATTCAAATTAATGTTTTTATTTTGATTTCAATCTAACATCACTGTTGTTCTACAGCTCTGGACCTTAAATGCATGGATAAATCATTTTAAAGTAGAGGGCGACACGGTGGATCAGTTGGTAGAGCTGTTGCTGCTCAGTGAGAAGGTCGCTGGGTCAAATCCCAGCCAGGGACCTTTCTGGGTGGAGTTTGCATGTTCTCTCTGTGCTGTGTGGGTTTCCTCCCACAGACCAAAAACATGCATGATAGACTGATTATCCTGATGCATGCTCAATAATCCAGGTAGAAAAATCCAAGAAAGTTCAATCTGGTCCTCTGGACATTCAAAAAAACAAAAAACAAAACAAAGCAAAAAAAAAAAATGTAGAAACGTTTCGTCTCTCATCCAAGAGACTTCCTCAGTCTGAGGAGCTGTATTCAGCTCAGTCTCTTAAATAGCACCGTCTCAGGGTGGATCAACCAGTTTTGCTGCTGACAACCAAAACCAGCTGATCACATGCTCAAGAAGGACCATCAGCCTAACAATGGATCATTAGCACACTGATGGCTGTTTACTATTCAAAGGGGGTTGAGTGATACTAGCAATCACAGCATGGTAAGAGGGGGACAATTGAACACGTAGGCCTCCACCCCTGTTTAATGATGAACGATTTCTTTTCACAAAGATGGCCTCCTTTACTCCTCTCTCAAACCATCGTTCCTCTCTGTCCAGGATGTGAACATCTTCATCCTTGAAAGAGTGACCGCTGGCCTGGAGATGAGTGTAGACCTAAAATCCACAAACAAGGTGTACCTTTAAGACCAATTGTTAGTATGATTAACTCTGTCACTTACAATGTTTCCAAATATCTGGCGTCTGTACTCATCCCTTTAGTTGGCAGCTCAGAACACCACATACAGAACACCATGGACTTTGTGGACAAGGTGAGGGATGTCATCATGGAGACTGATGAAACAATGGTCTCTTTTGATGTCACATCACTCTTTACGTGCATTCCTGTTGATGATGCAGTAGAGGTGGTCAGTTTAAGATTAAAATCAGACACCACTCTGAGCAGCAGGACCACGCTTTCCACAGAACAACTGTGTCAACTCTTGAAACTGTGCCTACAGTCAACCTACTTCACATATGGGGAGCAATATTATATGCAGAAACATGGGTGTGCTATGGGGTCTCCAGTTTCTCCTATTGTTGCCAACCTGTACATGGAGGAGGTAGAAAAGAGAGCCTTGACGTCCTTTTCAGGGACACCACCAAGTCATTGGTTCAGGTATGTTGACGACACCTGGGTTAAAATTAAATCTCAGGAAGTCCAACATTTTACTGACCACATCAACTCTGTGGATAAATACATCAAGTTCACACGAGAAGATGTAAAAAATGACAAGTTGGCTTTCTTGGACTGTGAGGTCTCAGTCTCTGATAGAGGACTTTTGCAAACCGAGGTGTACCGCAAACCCACCCACACAGACCAGTATTTGCAGTTTGACTCCCATCACCCTTTGGAGCACAAGTTAGGAGTCATCAGGACTCTGTACCACAGAGCAGACAGCGTCCCCACTAGCTCAGGAGCCAGGCAGAAGGAGAAATCCTACACAAAACAGGCTCTAGAGCAATGTGGATATCCTAACTGGGCCTTCCTGAAAGCAGAGAAGAAACCCAAACAGGACTCCAGTCAGCCATCAGGTGAAAAGGAGGAACCCAGACCCAGACCAGTGGTCATTCCGTATGTTGAGGGAGTATCAGAGAAACTGAGACGTTTATTTTCTAAACATAACGTCCCAGTGGCTTTTAAACCCCAAAATACATTACGGCAAAGACTGGTTCATCCCAAAGATCCAGTCCCCCGGCACAAACAGAGTAATGTTGTGTATGCTGTTCAGTGTCAGGAGGGCTGTGATCAGTCTTACATCGGGGAAACTAAACAGCCACTGGCCAAAAGGATGGCCCAGCACAGAAGATCAACATCATCAGGCCAGGACTCTGCGGTCTACACTCATCTCCAGGCCAGCGGTCACTCTTTCAGGGATGAAGATGTGCACATCCTGGACAGAGAGGAACGATGGTTTGAGAGAGGAGTAAAGGAGGCCATCTTTGTGAAAAGAAATCGTCCATCATTAAACAGGGGTGGAGGCCTCCGGGTTCAACTGTCCCCCTCTTACAATGCTGTGATTGCTAGTATCACTCAGCCCTCTGTGAACAGTAAACAGCCATCAGTGTGCTAATGACCCATTGTTAGGCTGATGGTCCTTCTTGACCATGTGATCAGCTGGTTTTGATTGTCAGCAGCAAAACTGGCTGATCCACTCTCAGAAGGTGCTATTTAAGAGACTGAGCTGAAAACAGCTCCTCAGACTGAGGAAGTCTCTCGGATGAGAGACGAAACGTTTCTACATTTTTTTTTTTGCTTTGTTTTGTTTTTTGTTTTTTTGAATGTCCAGAGGACCAGATTGGATAGACTGATTAGTAACTCTAAGTTGTCCCTAGGTGTGAGTGAGAGAGTGAATGATTGTCTCATTTCTCTCTATGTGTCCCTGTGATGGACTGGAGACCTGTCCAGGGTGTCTCACACAGTGACTGCTGGATATGGGCACCTGTGACCCCCGTGACCCGAAAAGGAATAATTGGGTAAAAGTTAATGGCTGGCTGGCTGGCTGCATGGATGGATGGATGGATGGATGGACGGGCGGACGGATGGAGATGGATGGATGGATGGATGGATGGATGGATGGATGGATGGATGGATGGACGGACGGACGGACGGATGGACGGATGGATGGATGGATGGATGGATGGATGGAGATGGATGGATGGATGGATGGACGGACGGATGGAGATGGATGGATGGATGGATGGATGGATGGATGGATGGATGGATGGATGGATGGACGGACGGATGGACGGATGGATGGA